ATGACTTTCTTAAAAAAGATAATGGATCATCTTATTTTAAAATGGTATATAAAGAAGTCTTATTTCTGGTAGTATTTACTGAAAAGAAAAGTACTATAGCATTCCACATGAAAGTAAGCTGAACTTTAATAGAAAGTCTTTCATTCAGAAGGTAGAGATTGTAAAATGAGAAAAATTCAACTTTTTTCACAAAATAGGAAAGCGTATTATAGATGAATCTATGAGGGTGAATAATACACGTATCTTACATCAGATTGTGAAAGACGTACTTAAAGAAACTGTAAAGAATATTTTGCAGACAGATCTTAATGAAATAATTAAAACTGCTATATGGAAGCCTGATAAAAATAACAAGAGTATACAGCGTTTTATTTCATAAATGCGAGATATACACACTTGTGAAGAAGCAAATGCCAAATGGCTCATAAAAAAAGGCCTAACACCTGAGCCTTATCTTTATCAAATTCTAGAACTAGATGAATGCTTTGAATATGTTGTAATTGAGAATAATTTATCACAGAAGGTAGGTGACAAAATGGAATACCCAGAAGTGATAAGATGTCTTGGTAAAAATATTAATATTAGCTATTATCTAAAACTGTTATTGGGTTCTGTGCATGTTTTATAAATTATGATGATAGATATTTGAAATTTTACTGGAAGTCTTAAAAAAGTTAAAAGATAATAATGAAGCGGATGGAGTAGACAAAGTGGATAAAGATAAAGAGAATGAAGATGAAGTGGATGAAGATGAAATATTAAAAATAAGAGATGCCTTATCACAAAAATCAGCTGAAAAGTGGGTTAAGAGGTATATCAAAAATCTACATGAAGATCCAAAAAAAGATAAAACTATCATAATTCATTTATGGGAAGGGGCATATATTTACGTGAAAATTTATTTGATACTACTTATGCTGATAAGAGAGAACATCTGACTAACAATGCTTATTACCAATTCTTCCTCAATGTGTTAGATAAGCAAGAAGAATCCATCTGCTTAAAACTTTCATCATTGCTTAAAGAAATTTCTAAGGTTGATATAGAGTATAGAGACAGTATATATAAATTAGTTACTAAGAAACGAGTAATGTCCTTAAAACAATATTTAATATCATATTATTTGGATAAGTATAATCTACTAGCAGATTTCTGAAACACATGATACAAAATGGTTGACCTAAAAATCACACGCTACTGAATGTTATCAAAATTACAGGATGATAAAAAAGATGATTCATCTGAAGTGAATATAGATAATATTATTGAACTATATTGCTAAGTATTTTAGTGGAGATGTGACAATTTCAGCTAAAAAAACTTAGTCTAATAATATTATTTACATATTTTTTCTCTTGCAATAATACCGGCTAACTTCAATTTTTATTCTTGAACTTCTGGCCTCTAATCATATAGCCTAGCCATAGATATATTTGGAGATGTAAATTACTAGTCTAAATGTATCAGTTACTTTTTTCTTTCAGCTTGGCGTTTCATATATTTCATATTTTTTTCCCAACCATGATCTATATAATTGCAATTAGTAGTAAGATAAGTATAAAATATATTATTATCAGTGATATCAAAGGCACTGCTTCTACGTCACCTACAGAAATTATTTGAGATGATGGATTAAGAGCGAAAGGTTAGCTAAAGGCACTATGCATAATGAATTATTCATAGGTAGGGTAGAGGATTTACTTCATTATGTAAAATGCTTCTTGACTCTTTCTTTAATGCTAACTGGTCTCTAAGAGACTTATTTTCTTCCATTAATTTTAATCGTTTTGAAGACTGAATATCTATTTCCCATTTAAATATACTATTTGAGAACTCTATTCCTTTTTTCATACATTCTATTGTATATTTTTTTGAACTAAGATTCTCATTCGCTCACTCTAATTTAAGCCTAAGAGAATCAATCTCTTTAAGATCAGATGAATTTATTTGGGCTAGCTCTTCTACCACTCTTCCCACTCCTTTCACTGCATCTGAATCATTGAATACCTGTTCTAGTTCTAAGTCATCTAACTTACCTTCTAATTCACGTACTTTATCTTCAAGAGAAAGAATCTTGATCTTATCAGTGAACAAAGTTTTTTGGGCCAAAGTTGCCTCTCTTTTTAGTGTTTTAATATTTGATTTAAGCGATTTGACTTTAGCTTCAAGTTCAATATGAGACGTTTATTCAGAAATAAATTTGAATCTAAGTTCAGTGCTAGACTTATTTAACTGGCTAATTTTATTTACAATATCAGTATAGGATCATTAAAATTCCTTTTCTCACTCTGAATACTCTAAATTTTCAGCCTGCAACTTTTCGTTGAAGTTAATAATTTCAGAGTTAAAATTGATAGTGGATTTTAATTTTTTTTGAGCTCTTGTTTATATGTACTATCCAGCTGATGTTCTTTATTTTTTATATCTTTCAATGTATGCACATTGGACATAATATTGGCATAGTTACATAGCAGAAAAAAATATATTGCAATTTTTTGAGACTGTGTAGTCCCAAAAATTTTGGAAGCACTTTATTTTTCTATAAATACTATGCATATTGATACATATTAGTGGGCATTGAAAACATATTAATATACATTGAAGAGTATTAATACATATTGGTAGGTATTGAAATATATTAATACACATTGAAAAGTATTATATTGATACACATTTATATTTATTAAAAAGTATTAATATTTTTTTTTTCTAGATAGTATAAAATCAAGTGAAGATGGTAACCCATCTCTATAATACATATTATGATGCTAAGACAACACTGTTATCAGAAGCTGATATCAAGAAAATTAGAGAATCAAGAGGTAAGATATCTAATGTATCAAAAAAAATGGCTAATAAATTTTATATTAGACCTAGGTGTGTTTATGAAATATGAGATAATAAAAAATACTTTTAGCAAGGAGTTATTTTATTTTCTTCCGGTCAGTCTGTTTTAAATGAGAATTTCTAGACTAATAAGATAGAACAGACTGAGTCAGATATACATAGCCAAAATACACCCCCTTTCACAGAATTAGAAAAAAAGATACACCAATGTTGAGGTCAAGCTTAGTAAATCTACCAATTTGACTTCAGAAAGGAGTGTTATTTTAGGCGGTAAGACGAAAAAGACTGAAGGAAAAAAATTGAATTCCGTATTAGCCTTGCTAACATCATTTAGTATTCAGACTCAATCAATCTAAGCTTCAAAGAAGAATACAAATAATGTAAATTTGGATGCATACTATGAGAAGATGGTCAAAAAAGTTCAAAAATTATAGATGTAAAAAAGAAGCATTATCCTGAAAATAACTCACCTATTCCTTAAAAAGACTTTCGCAAAACTTATTAATTTTCATATTAAACTTGAGAGTATTAGAAAGCTTCTTTTCAAGTTCTTTTATATGAATTACCATATCCTCATAGTTTATGCATTTTTTTAATATATTATCATCCTCACTTAAGTCTTACAAGTCCTGTAAAATTTTATCTGATATCATAGAATCATTACATTCAGAAGTAATGTTCATGCAGTTTATCTCGAGCTTATTTTTGATCTTATATATATTAATTGGAATAAAAAATTCTTTACCATTACACTCTAGTCTTAATTCTCACTTTGATGTAAGTAAATCATAATTATATTTGTCGAGAAGTATGTTGAATAAGATCAGCATTGGCTTAGGATACTTAACTACAACAAAATCAGCATATATAGTACATCCAGAAGCAAAATTTACTGAAACATTTCTAACAATTTCAAGCAACTCTGTAGAAGTAGTAGCAATACCTCTGAGATTATGTTTTTCTTTTGTATCAATTATTAACTTTGATCATTTAGATATATCCTCAGACATAATCAAAAAATTAGCACTAAGATCAACTGTATCCGCTAAAATTACTAGACGCTTAATTTTACATTTAACAGTGACAATATTTGTAACAGGTTCTTTTCTTTAAATAAAGTCTATCTCCATAGGATCATTAATGAACTCATCCTCAGAATCAGCTGGTATTTTAGAATCACTATTTTGTGGATAAAGGAGAGTTATAATAATGCTAAACTTTTCATTAAGTACCTTTTCAATAATTTTTTCAATAATTCTTTCTAAGCAGAATTATTTATTCTGTATTAGGAATTTTGAATTTTGCTTTTCCTTCTCAGAAATAGAAACTGATGTTATCCTAGAAGGACCTGCTAAAGGAGGTGTTTCTGCATCTTTTATCTTATGAGATTTGTGAGTTATTGATTTCTTCTTTCATAAAGAAATACTAATGCTATGCGATCTCTTTGAGATTTGCTCTTTCTTCACTTTTTTTTTACCTGAGATATATTAACATTAATTTAGCATCAGCCTTACTCTCAAATTTTGATTTAAAAGAGGAACTCTCAAAGCTAGAAGAGCTATTCTCAGATTCTGATGAAGAAGTATCACTATCAGAAGAATCTGAATCTGATTGTTCGTTTACTTTAGCTATATGAACTTGACCACTTTTAGATTTTTTCTTCTTAGACTTATTTTTCAATTTCTTTTTCTTTATTTTAGAAGTTTTATAAATAGGTTTACAGCCACTTTTATGTAACTTTTTGATCGCATTAATTTGTTTGGAAAGCTTAGCATAGTTAGCATTAACAACACCTAATTTTCTTATTAATTTGTTATTAATATAATTATCTAAGGATGTAAGATCTCTTGGTACATCAGGTGGTATTCCCAAACGTACTACACATATATACATATTTTCTAAGGTCTCATTATTTTAGAGGTGTACTTGAGTCAGTTGAGTTAGTTATACCTGTAAAGATACTATTTTATTATTTAACTTTTCAATCTTAGCCGATGGATATGATTGAGAGAGTTGTATGTATTGCTGAGATTGCAAAAGAGGGTTTGCATCAGAGACTAATTCAGCTTTATATCTCTCAATCTCTTCTAAAGATGAAAGAATTTCATCAATAGGTCTACTAAGACCCATATGATAAACTTTTATTTAATTATCTAGAGAAAGTCTTTAAGAAATCTATGGCAGAATTTATCATCTCCTATATTAGCATGTCTTGCAATCTTCTTGAGTTTGGTATAATAAGAATCTACAAGATCGCTTTCTTGCACTGTTATACCAAATAATGCTTGTTGATACTATTGCCTAACTGTGGGATAATTTCCTTTAAAGTAATCAATTAATTGCTTAAGAGTGATATTGGCTAATACAACTATTCTATTTAGCAAATTTGCATTTAGTACATACATAACTTTAGATGTTAGCTTACCTCCTGCTGGTGTCCAATCTTCATTGAAAACTGTATGTTTGGGAATTACTAAAGCACTAGCACCAGCATCGGCCATCACAAGTTATACATTAAGTCCAGCTATTGCTGTAGGAGATAAATATCCTACGATTCATATTTATCTATCATCTTATAATTATGCCAAAATATAATTTACATAGAGATAATATTGGATAATTTTCAATTTTTATCTGCTATATCTCTTTCAAGCCATTCACTCGCTTTACCTTTTAAGTATGACTTAAAAAAGCTTAATGCGCTAATCCTATCTGCATTATTTGTCAAATTATTCTTAGAAGCAATTAAATACCTTCTAAATTCATTGATAAAATAGTCGATATCTTCACCATAATTTCCACTAAAACTTGGCGGTATATCCTATCATACCTATATATTGTATATTAGGTGAGTTATTCTGAAATGCTAAAATTTGTCCTTGCAAATTTAAAATATTCTGGTCACAAGTCTGAACTTGATTCTGCGAATTCCTATATTGTCCCTTCTAATTTTGTACTTGACGAACACAATCTGCATGTTTTCTTCTTCAGCGTTCTGTATTATTATTATAGCGTACAGTTAATCTATGTGCAGTTCTCCTATGCTCAGCAATTTAAATATCTTTACGCTAAATTAATAGTCAGAAGACAAAATTTTCACGTAATAATTTACCAATATACTTTTGCCTATTTTGAGCCAATTGCTAATACTCCCTACGTGCTTCTGTTTCATTATTTAAGGCAGTTGTATGCAATTGCATAATTCTTTTTGCTTGAGTCCAGGAATCATTTAATAAATATTGTAACCGTAAATTCTGATTTTCACTATCAGTAAACTGATTCCTAAGATTATTTGCTCGCTGAATTGAATCATATAATAAGTTCTGATATTGATTACACTCGGTTGTAATATTTTGCAAAGTAACCTGAATAGTATTTAACAAACCTCTAATACCATCTATAACATTAGTGAGATTTTACATAGGCGTACTAATACCTTTAATATGATTTTCTATCTACTCTAATCCTCTATTAACATTTGCAATAAGATTAGTTGTTGCTATATCTAAATTATCTATTGAGATTTTTTTATCTATGAGAATCTGGATTCTTGTCTTGAGACGTTCTACCTTATTTTCAAGCTCTATGATTCAGCTATATTGAATAAATCCAACCTCATCTTTGAATTTTTTATCTTGTTATAAGATCCTAAGCTGTTTTTACAAATCAGATATTTTTGATTTAAATTTCTCTATCACTTTTTCGTGAACTATAATAGTATTATCTATAATAAAATAGTTCAATAACATTGCTCAAGCTCTTTTACAAAGGATCAAATTTTTTTTTCATAACTCTTATTAATAGAAATCTTATCTTGAAACTCATTACGAAGCTCTTAGTTCGTATCTAAAAGCTGTGAATATACTAGATCAAATATGATATTTTATCCTAATTTATAGTACTATTATAATAATCCTACCTTAAGAATGAGCTAACCACAAATTATAATAGATCTCGATAAAGAGCTCCGTATAGTATGTAGACTTCTATATTATAATATTCCTAGATTTTATCTTAATACTAAAAAATTACATAGAGAATATCAGCAGGAAAGATATTCTTTTTGACTAAAAGATATTAAAAATGGTTAAAACATCAATATAATCATCAAATATATTTACAGCCATGTAAAGCTGAGACAAGTTTTTCAAAGATTAAGATTCTAAACAAAGTTCATCAGTGTAATATTCTGCTCTATACTTACGATGATCAGGATAGTAGAAAGGTTTTCATTTGTAGTTTGCTAGTCATAGATGTGGCAACGTATTATAAGAAAGGACATTCTCTAACTTCAAAAAATAGCTTAAAAATTTGAATTGCAATCAAAAAAATATATGAGGATCCTTCTAACCTCCTCACATGGCTGATATTATTAATAACCAATGATAATGCATCATTCTGGAATGCATTCTTACAAGAGATGCAACAGTATAATATCACTATATATGTTGTTGATCTTTATAGTTTTAAGAATCTAGCTTTGATCAAGCATTCAAGAAAAATTTAACGAAATTAATATATAAAGTTCAATATGCTATAGAAAGGCGATTAGCTGAAGGAGAACAATTAAGATTATAAAATAAAATCCTTAAGAAGTACATTGATTTTATGAATAATAGTAAGACTCACCTTATTGGAATGTTACTAGTTCATGCTATAACTTTGGAAGAAGTCAGTTCAAAACCTTCTTATAAAGCTAAGCGGGCAATTGAGAAACATGAAGAGATAAAGTTAAAAAAGGGTACAGCAGTTAGATATCTATTAAAACTGACGAGCTGAAAGGTGATCACGAATACTGAGCAATTAATCTGTACTGGTTATTGTGTATTTATAAGATCAAAAAAGTCATTATTAAAAGGAATCTATTACAACTGGTCTTATATTATCTTGAGAATGAGCTTATTGAATCAACTGCTCACTTGATGGAACAGAATCCCAAATGACCCTTTAAATATGAGGAACTCCAAGTAATTGAGAAACCTGATAAAATTGAGTATCTACCTGATAGATTTATGCGAAAATATCATCCTATTAGGTTCGTCTATTATATTCAAATTACTAATGATAATTTAACTGAAGCTTATCAATATGCTGAAAAACGTGATGACCAATGCCTAGAAAGAACTAGGCGAGTACAGTAACACTTTCATAAATGTACACAGTTAAGCCCAGCCATACACATGCACTTATAAAGGGTATGCACTTATAGAATAGCTAATAGAAAAATAGATTTTATTACATAAATTAAAAATCTGACAAAACTTTAAATTCGTTTATTAACTTTATTTATTTAAATAGTATTTACAGAGGGCGATCAAAATTATTCGGCCAGTTTGTTTAGCCAAATTTATGCCAATTATCACGTGTTAATATAATATAAACAATATATAATTTGTACTTACCATTACAATAAACAAACCCTCGTACTTCATTTTTTCTCAGAATTTTTCAGAAATATGAAGCCACTTATCCCAAAAACTCGTAGCGAAATCATTTATGGCCATAATTGTGAACAATCAAGTCGCACAATAGCTAAACAGTTGGGGTGTGGGAAAATAACTATTAATGATATTCTTAAACGCCTTTATGAAACACATTCTTTAACTCCAAAAAAACAAACTGGCCGTCCACCACTTCTTAATTCACTAGCCCAACAAGAACTTAAAGCCTTTATTCAAGAAAATGGTGAAAATCGTCGACTTTGTTCAAAAAAGCTTACAACAGTTTAGACAGCTCATATAAAACAGCCTATTTCTGCTGTTACTATATGCCAGAATCTTAAGAAAGTTAGGCTTACATCTTGTATACCTCATAAAAAATCTGCAATGACAGAAGTACATCATCAGGCTCATCTCGAATGAGCTCATGCACACAAAAATTGGGAAAAAAAAAAATGGAAAAGAGTACTTTTTTCAGATGAAAGTACTTTTACATAATTTCAACAAGGTCGTCAAGGAAAGGTA